ATTAGCATTGTGGTCTCAAATTGCAGTTCAGATTTAAAAAAATAGATTTTTGATTGGCAACGTGGACTTGAATTATAATTCAGAAAGTTATTGGATATAGAATAATAATAATGTTATTACTTTAAAATGCCCCCCCCCCCCCCCAGTCAGAATAGGATTAAAACCTTTCTCAGGGTTTGCATCAAATCACCAAATGGAACCAATTCAATAACCCTGCCTTCCTTTACATGTTTGGGTGGTGGAAAAAAAAAAACCCGATAATAAAGACATTTCGGTTGGAGCCCTTTGTTGCTGGAACTCCTGGAAGGCCATCAATCCTTTGTGCATGAACATTGGAAGAAAAATACAGCAACAAAAAAAGCAAACCACATAGATCCATGCGTAGATCAAAACACTTGTGTGTAACAGCTGTGCATTAAGAATTATGTTTTTCTCTTATGTAAACTTTATGTAGGAAATGTGATATGTCTTCGGTTTACAGAAGCCCACGCCATTAGATGTCCCCTGCTTCAATTTCACGCATGTACCAGTATGTATGAGAAAGAAAAGAAAGATGTGGATAGTAGTCTGTATCTCAGCCTGACTTGAATTTGTATGCATGTCGAGGTAACTAGGGAAGAGGCATTCGATCAGCCTTGAATCAAGGCTAACATACAGCTGGTTTATTGATATGAGGGTTCGTGAGGTAGAACCAAGTTGTATCAATAAGTATGTATGTTGATATATACATGTAGCATACCATGCACCAAGCTCTAGTTGGAAACATTTTTAGTTCAATAACAAAACCTTTACTTTTCAGTGATGGAAAATCATAGCTGAGAAGGTATATTTGGTGAAAAATATATAAAAGGGGAACAATTTTGTAACTCGTTTATTTGAAAATACTAAAATATAGCAGTTGACAAATCTATAATCTTTGCGAAACCTTCCCCCCAGAAGAGCAACAGCTTTTTCATGCAATTTGCGTTCTGACAATTATAGTGCAAAATAAAATAGCAGGTGAATAAAACACTTTATCACCACACGCATGTGGGAAGGAAGCACCCATATACATATGTTCGAAAAAACATTTACTTGATAAAAGACTTCGCATAATACGTCACGTTATCAAAAAAACGGTGATGCTCGTGTAAAGCTGAAATCCTGAAAAACTGTACATTATGCTAAGAATATCTTGCTAATACCTCTCTCGTACACTATCATGGGAAACCTTGTCGATTGATGGGCAAGAGTACAATAAACCTTTCAGAATAACTCTCGCTATTTCTTAGGGTGAGGTTTCCTTTGAGTACACCCTGTACTTCCTGACTTCACATCTAACAAAGATCCAAAGCTATCCAATTAAAAGGATGAAATTATAATTCCCTCTCGGAAGTGCTGATTTGATCGTCCTTGCGGAGTGGTTAAACTTAATCAGGCATGCATCATGCATCAGAAAAATATGAATATATTCTGCTCAGATATACCGCAGTGGGATGTCTGCTTTCTACCAGTATATGTGATGGCTAACAGTCTACACGGTATTGCCAGACTAGGTATACTTTAAGAGATGGTGTAAGATTACAGAATAAACTTGCTATTTCCCATTTGATTAAATCTATGGGATTTAAAATCTAAAAGATCGGGTATGGAAGGCTTGGAAGCATATGTGACCACAAAACACCCAAAAAGTCGCGTAGTGTTGTTTTCAGTGAGAGCTCAATAAAGGTGTATTTCGCCAGGATTTTAGTTTTTCAGCATTTCTTGAATTTAAATTTTTTTTCTATGTAATTTCAGAATTTTGAAGCACAAAACAATCTAAGAGTGGAATTTGGGCATTATTTTGTAATCTATGTTTTTTGATTGAGTTTGTTTCAGTAGTTTTGATTTATTTACGACCCTTGCTACTGGTCTCATATTGGTAATATCAGATAACTTAAAACAGAGTAAGCCATTACATAGATTCCTGAAAGAAATGAAGAACATGATGTGCTTACTTGATGTGCCAAGCTTTAGGACAATCTGAATAATTTCACAGGAATTTCTATAGAGTTCTAATGCTCCTCTTGTCACCTTGCACAAGACCTTGGGAGTCAGAGTGCTTAAATAGACTTTAAAGGGATAGTTGAGTTCTGTTTTCAGACCGCAAATGCCTTCATAGTGCATTGTTATTGCTCTTATTCTCATCTAAGACATTTTTAGTGCCCTTTTAGGACCTAGAGTAGCTATGAAGGTAATTTTAGACCCCCAAATGTGTGAAATTTAGCCAATACGAACATACCAATTCAGCTCCACTTTCAAAAAAAATATGGTGACTGTTAATTAATTATTTAATTAAAAATAACAATACAAGGGCCGGCTGGTTGTGCGTAATATAACCAGCACGAAAATGCCAACAAAAAAGCAAACATTGGCATTGGCTGAAATACAACGTAAAAGGAGCTATTTCGTTTTTTAAAGTTTTTTTTCAAATTATCTAATATTTGTGATGGTACACAAGTATTAGAAATCGTTATATTTATCGATATTTCAGCCGTCTCTGAACCGATTTGGATCAAACAAAGATGATTTTGTCATTTAAATTGTATGCTCTTTCAAATTTGACGCTCAGTTTTTCATTATCTCACCAAAAAATTATTTTGTGTACCGCCCATTGCAACAGAACTCAACTATCCCTTTAAAGAGAAGGTTGAGTTCTGGGAAGAGGTGAAAAATAATTTGTGAGCGTTATCATTCTTATTATGCAAGTGTGGAAGAACATCAGATAAGACATGTTCCCTGAAAAGCATGGCTCTTTAAATGCCTTTATGTTCTAAATATGTCATGTAACTCGTAAAACTCGGGGGTGGGTTTTTTACGCCACATGTTCGTGTAGTCCCATAGTACATCTTTCTGTGTTCAGTGTTTGTAACTTTACCAAGACTTGGCCAAATTTCTTATCATTTTGATGATTCCAGAACCTTGCAATACACACAAATTCTTATATGCTAGATGATCAACCTTTTCTGGTCGATTTCACACCGTTTCTTTCACAATGCAATCACATGACCAGAACTCAACTTCATCTTTAAACACCTTTTCCTCTTAAGTATTAAACATTCTAAGGGGCTGGACATTCTTCTTCTTTTTTTAAAATTGAGTTAGAGACATCCATTTGTGATAAGTAATTTATCATTTTAACGCTGAGAATCTCCTCTTTCAGAATCAAGCCCAAACTAAAAAGGCCCTTTCTGGCCCTTTCTTTCTGGTTTTGTAGTGCAAGGTCACATTGGAAAGTCTGAAGCCGCAGGTTTGAACCGGCTGTATGCATAGAGATAATGTATGGTCACAAATAGAGGCATCTGGTATTTGTGACCCTATACATGTACATATACAAGTATGCACAACAAGAGAGCTGTAATGGCCAGTAGGTTAAGCCCTGTTCACATTTAATGCGCTAAACCCCTTAAAAAAACGCAGAGGTAAAATAGAAAACATCTTTCATCATAATAGATGGCAAGTGGACTTTTAAAGAGATAATGTAAATTATCAAGGGCTTTTGTACATGTATGTATTCTATGACCTGTATGTTTAACATTTATAGATGTGTGAATCAAATTACACTTCTGTCCCTTTATTTTATCTCAGCATTTTTCTATTTGGCAGCTTTAATTATTACAAATTTTTGTCTGAACATGGCTTCACAAAGAGTATAGGATGAGAAGGGTACAAGGCAGGGGAAACGTGAGGTTCAAGTTATCTCATTACTTCTATAGCCCCTTATGAGCTCACCCGACTCTGACCCGAGGGAAATTAAAACGACTTTAGCCGACATGTGCGAAGCATTCTGTTTAAATGTCAGACACGTATTTAGCCTGGATGTATGTGCTTTTAAACACAGTCATGTCCTGAATCTTGATTGGAAATTGTTTGTCTTACAATTACTGGGATATAAATACAGAGAGAGAGGGAGAGAGAGACACAGACAGACAGACAGGCAGACTTAAAATAGATACAGAGACAGGGAGAGAGGTTGAGACGGAGGTACGCATAGGTACCCAAGCTTGGGAAGGAGAGACAGGCAGATAGAGAAAAAGAGACAGAGAAAGACAGTTAGATTTAGAAAGAAAGAAATAATGGAAGACAATGAGATACCGAGGGAGAGACACATGGAAGATATTGAGAGAAAGAGAGGTAGACGGACATTCAGAGACACATAGAGAGAGAAAGATAGAGACGGACAGAGAGACAGAAAGAGAGATTGAGAGCCAGACAGAGAGAGAGAAAAAGAAAGAAAGGGTGGGGGAAGGGTCAAACATGAAGACGGGGGTTGGTTGTCCCTGCAGAGATGGAGGAAACGAGGGTTGGTAAAAACAAAGGATGAATCATCACAAGTTAATTCACAGCACAGATCTAAGAGGAACATTTAAAAAAATGAAAAGAAAATGTGAAAAGCTCAGTATAAAAATATGCCAAGTGAGAAAATGAACATATCAGATATACAGAGAGAGACTGCTTCTTAGACTATTTCTCTTTGGTGTAAAAGGGGCCCATGACCTGTGCATTTTTTGTTTCCATAAAACTGTAATCAATCTAGACCATTACACAAATGTTTTTACAAAAGACTTTAATTTTGGGGTTGACTTGCTGAATTGTTGGCATTGTTTTTTTTACTGAAAGGCCTAACAGCTTTTTCTATAAAGAATGTAGCTATTAAAGTGATGATGCTTATTTGAACATATTTCTACTGAATATGTGTCATTGTTGTATTGTAGATCTGAAATATTGGTCCCCTGGTTGCTTAATAATAATAATATTCCGCTTTTATATAGCACCCAATATACAATGATGTGCCTAAGCGCTTTACAGATATATTATTACCCTGATCATCGGATTCAGGCTTATCCGCACACAGTGTATGCACATTTTCCACTCCCTGGGGAGCATTCCAGCCAGTCGGGTGAAACAACCCTACTAACCATACCATGACTTTGGTCTATCCATATGAAATATAGTATGCATTATTCTTGTTATCTCCTCAGAATCCGAAGGACTGCAGCAAGGCAAAGAAGATCGTCTGCAACCTGAACAAGGGGTGCGGCTATGGATGCCAAGTACACCATGTGGCCTACTGCATGATAGTAGCCTATGCCACAGAGAGGACCCTCATCTTAGACTCCAAAGGGTGGAGGTATGCCAGGGAGGGGTGGGAGAAGTTCTTTCTGCCCCTCAGCGAGACCTGTCTCGATCGGAAAGGGGAGTCATCAGGCAGATGGGGAGGTAGGTACCCTTATTATTATTATTATTATTGTTTATTCGGCAAAACAAAGTTTATACAAAAGAATTACATACATGTAGAAGAACAAATCGTACAAAACAAAGGATGAAAATCATTTAAAAAAAAACATTATAGTGATTCCGATGAGTATTTACAAGTTGCCAGGAATGGGGCAGGCAAACTAAATCACCGAAACCCTGAAGGTCCCCCATTCGGACTTGCAGTACTCATGGGAGATCACTACATAAATACAATGTAACAAGATTATAGCCACACTCAATATGGCAATGATAAAAGAACAAACTCAAATTATTAAAAACTTGCTTTAATATTTTCAAGATTTGATCTTCAATAGTTTTGTCTCATTTTATTTTGAAGCAGTAGGTATTCAAATCCGCTAATTTGAACCAGAAATCATGAGTCCTCAAATTTTATGATTGTTCCTATTTTTTTCTTGAACTTGAACTGTAGCCTCTCCTTATTCTGGCAAACATCTTATGAACAAGAATAAAGGAGAAAAAAAAACATTTTAGGGAGAACATACAGAGGCATTGACTAGAATTCTTCCCTGGTGTTTAAGTCACCAAGCCTAATTGGATGTCAGACATCTATTTTAGTGATCTGCTCACAGCTCAAAACCTCACTTTTAATTACATTCTGTGTGCACACCTGTCAGGGATATGGTACTATCATCAGACTGCCAGCATATGAGTGTTGTTTAAGTGTACTCTCAGGAAGTGTCGTACACCTAGTAGTTAATTAATCTTACCGGTAAGTACATTTAAGGCCCATTTTCACTGCAAAAAACATGATATGAATTGTTTTTTTATTTACTTATTTTTAACTACCATGTACATTTCTGGAAAACCTGTATAAAACCATCTGTGTTTGCATGCCCTAGAAGCATTCAGGTATTCGGGTTAGTAGTGCAATTATGAGGAGAATCACCTGAGCAGAATCCCAAATAAGTCACCTGATTTTTGCGAGCGACCATTCACACTCTGCCAAAACTGGCAGAGTTTCAGCTGGTGAGCAGAGTTTCAGCTGGTGTTTAAACCTCCAAAAAAAATCCAATCTCCAGAGTTCAGTTTTTCAATTTGACACTGATCATCCTATTGACCCAGGTGGAACCCGTATCTTTTCCCCAATGTGAGCTAGAACATCAGTTCCCGACACATGACACCATTGGTGTCACAGCTTATGTTTAGGCGGATCAGCATTGATTACGAGGGCCTGAGTTAGAAGACTCATGAGGCTTGTCCTCATCAGCTCGAGTTTGCCAAATAACCCGCTATTTTCAGACTCGGGATGTTATCCCGAAGCTCGAAATTGCATCTTCACCAGACCAATATGCTCATCACATACTAGCTCGGGTGGGCGCAAATTGGCCAGCTATTTCTCAAATAGCAGGATATTTTGGAAACAAGACCAATATTTCTTGGGATATTCTCTCGACCAAATATCCCGCCAATTGCAACTGCGGACTGATGAAGTCGCAAATTAACTGGTTAATTTGAAATCGGGATAGTTAAAATAGCGGGTTATGTGGCATTTAACTCGAGCTGATGAGGACAGGCCTGTGGCCCGTTTGCCAGGCGTCAGGAAGAGAAACGTGACACAACTTGAGTGGTGTATCCTGCAGAGGCCAGAGAGAGAGTCAATATGTGCTCTCATAGTTGGGTGGGAGAAGGCATGTCTAACTCATGAAGAGTGCAAACAAGCACCTGCCAATTTGTAAACGAAATATTACATCTCGTTGGCTGCCTGCAAGAAGGACGTCAGAGCTTCATGTATGTATTAATTGTCACTGGCAGTAACATTTTTTTTGCGGGAAGCCAACAGTTTGAGAGCTTACTTAACCCCCCCCCCCCCCCACACACACACACACACACACACCCATTGCTCCGGGAAAACAAAATGACCATGTTGAATTCATATTTAGGATAGAATACATTACAAATTGCTTTCTTGGATGTCAATTTATCAGGACTGTTGTGTTCACTTGAATGTAGATAAGTAAACCGAGCATTGATACAGCACGACTATAGCTAACGGATCAATTATGGATGGGAATTATTTTGAGGCAGCAAGATGCATCTCACTAACTAACCTCAGTTGAGAGTCTGAAGGACAATAATAATAATGAATTATTGATGATGTGATTATCACTGCCATTAAAAACATCATGAATATTTTTTCCAGTCTATTCTATTCATGTGAAATTAATAATACAGTGTGATTGAAGAGTCATTCTCAGAATACCCTCTTTCCTTTTGATGAGTAGTAGTCCTGTTTTCATCGATAGTGGAGAGAAATAACATTGATGCAGAGAGTCGAGTCGTATCGTAATTAATGAAATTTATCAATACATTCAAGATCATGTCGCTGTTTTGAGCCAGAAGGAATCTAACTCTGCGTTAGAGTATGTGAGTTAACACCTTTCTGTCTCCAAACAGACGCTATATTATCAGGAGTATTGTAGGTTTTCGACTTGTGGGACCACAATAATTTATTACTTGGATGAGGAGGACTTTAGCTCATCAATAATGGACAAACGTATTGGGGCAGAGAGTCAAGCTGTATCTTAGTTACTCATTTAGTGATACATTCAGGATCACAATTAGTCATATTTTCAAGAATATTGTATTCAACCTGTTGTACATGTATGAGTGGGAACACAACAATTACATGTGTTACTCTGGGGAGGACTTTAGCTAATCAATAGTGGACAAACATCTTCTTCTTCTTCTTCCTTTTGAGTACAGACCTCTTTACAGAGTACTATACTGGGGGTGTGTGCAGGTGGACCACTACACCAGGGTTTCCCCCTACTCTTATACGAATAGTGCAGTGGGTTCTTAAAGTGCAAAGGTAGTGACTCCTCTCTACACGGGGCCTCCATTTAACGTCCTATCCGAGGGACAGAGTGTTTTCCACTTGACATAACCTGCGTCTGTGAACAAGGGAAGGGGCACGTTAACACACAACGGAGGCTTCAGTCATCCGCTTGGGTGGGAGTCGAACCCGGGATCTTTGGTTCGACAGACGGACGCTTTACCGACTGAGCCAACTCGCCTCCTGAGACATAGAGTCAAGGCATGATGACTCAGTGGTAGAGCTGAGGTCTCTTAACCAGGAGGTCCGAAACCAAGTCTATGCGCTAGTGCTCTTTGGTATTAAAGGCATTAATCCTCATTACCATGTCCCTCGGAGAGGACTTACTTACTGCTTTCTTAGCAGTCAGTAAAACAAACAAACTAACAAACAAGATGTGTGTTGATAAGATAATGTGTCATTATTACATTACAGGCAATGTTCATGTTATTATGACCCCTTGGACCCCTTTGAAAAACAGCTTATAGCTGACAAGGGCAATTCATCCCATGAGTGGAGAATAAATAAATAAAAATATTTAAAAAATGAATATTTTATCCCGATCTAAATTCATACAAATTATTTAATGATCAAGTAATAATTCATTGAGAGTGGTATTAGAAAATTCTTGTTCTCAATTTACATACCGGTAGGTATTTCTTTAGCTTGCTCATTTAATCAAGAAAACTATACATCGTGATACGATACATGGCAGTTATGTCATGATAATGTACTCTGTTGAAATATACCCGTATCTGGCTATGGAATGGCAAAGAATAGGGAGAGAAAGAGAGAATGGGAGAGAAAGAAATGCAGAAGTAAATGGCAAAAAAGGAAAAGAATATCATGCAAATTAATTCCACACCCTCCCCTACTGGTTGTCTAGTTTGCATGCTCTCATTACCCTTCTAGTAAAACCTGCCCCCTCTCCGCCATGACACCGGTGACAATGTTATACAACACACTGAGAAATTCAATTATCAGCAAACAATAAAGATGTTCAGCCATAGGTCTGCCAAAGCCCTTTCTAATGATAATGTGGTATTCGGGACAATAGGAATGAATTATTGCTAATTATTTCTGCATTGTGATGTGCAAAGTACTGTGCAATATAAGTGATTGACTGGTAAAATAGAACGCAGTATACAGTATTTGATACATCACATCTCAATAACTATAAATGGATGTTCCTCCTATAGCTGTTCAAAATTGAATCCATATTCATGGATCTATTTTTCGTAATGTAATTTTTTGAGGGGTATGTTCGTCATAGTCTGCCTTTTCTAATCACCTCTTTGTCTGGGTTTTGTGGTGGTTTATAGACTTTAATTAGTCATACCTTGGGAACAGTGTGGCCTGTAAATTTGGTTGCATGGGGATTTCTCCTTTGTCGATCTCCAAATGACAGGTAGTTGGATGTACATTGTTTTTATTTGTACAACTTCAACCTTAGTTCCTTCCCTTCTCATACAGTCATTTCCTTTTCTGTTGATCATACATAACATCTCCATCACACTCTCAGTTTTGTTACGGGAAATCTTTCCAACTTCTAATTCAAACTCCTTTTTTAAATCTCTTCAACTCCTTTTTTAAATCTCTTCAACTCCTTTTTGAAATCTCTTCAACTCCTTTTTGAAATCTCTTCAACTCCTTTTTTAAATCTCTTCAACTCTTTTTTAAATATCTCTTCAACTCCTTTTTAAAAATCTCTTCAATTCCTTTTTTAAAATCTCTTCAACTCCTTTTTTTAAATCTCTTCAACTCCTTTTTTAAATCTCTGCAGCTCCTAGCAATATTGAACACCTCCAAGTGGTGGAGCTCCCCATCGTAGACGGCCTTCACCCTCGCCCAGAGTTTCTCCCCTTGGCGATCCCTGAGGATATCTCCCAGAGGCTGATGAGGATACATGGACACCCGATCGTCTGGTGGATGGGGCAGATCATGACGTACATCCAGAGACCGCAGCCAGCCCTCCAGGAGGACATCGACAAGATGAGCCAAGCCCTGGGGTTCACTAATCCCATTGTTGGGTGAGTTTAATGAGGGTGATATTACAGGGATTATCCAAAAGCTTGATTTGGTGCGATAGGCATTTTCATTAATCCATTTCAATCTACTTGTAAATTATAAAATGGGCACTGTGATATAAGGGAAAAGGTATAATCAAAAAGGATATGTCTAGTGTACCAGTCGGCCAAAATATTTTGGTGTTTGGTACACATTTATTACACAGTTATTTTTCTTGATCTATACATACATCTAATCCTGTTTTTGTAATGTATCATGCTTATAATTACATCAGGATTAATTGTATTACATCTCCCCATTTCATGACTGTTCCTGCCCACCTGTATAGCCGTACTTGTTCATCTCAGATAGTTTTCAGATGATTAGTACCCTTTCAGTGAATATGACACACGTAGCATACTTCTGTATGTGGTCATATTGTTATACAAGTCGAGGGTTCAGTGACACAAAGACGCAACTCCATATTTTGCCTAATTCTTGAGATCCTTTTTGGCCTACATACTATGTGCCATACAATACAGTAACCTTTTCTTTTGATTAAAAACTTTACAAATTATCATTTGTGCCTTATTTTTTGCAGTTTTACAATCTTGCACTAGGTATTATGCAGTAGAATATAAAGTACCAGGTAGTTTTCTACAAATTTGTAATTTTTGATGTAATATGCACATCCATTCATATATCTTAATTTTCAATACAGGAAGACTTGTCAAAAGGATATAAAATAAACATGTATTTAAAAATGGGAAATTTGCTAATTTTGAAGAAGAAATTCTGTATCCAGTCATTGATATCTTACTTGTTCTCTTTAGGTACCAAAAAATTGGTCGAAATCTTTTTCTTTTTTTTCCCTCCCTCTTAGGGCTGATATTTCTCAATTATGAATTCATTAAACAAATCTTGCTCTGTGGACTGATATTTCTCAGTTCTGAATGCTTTAATACATTTTTTTTTATTCATTAAACATTTTTTTCTTCTAAAAATCGGCCCGGGAAAAAAAACTTTTTTTAAAAGCCGACCGTAGATTTCAAGATTTTTTGGTCAGTTGCAATGGGCAATACAACATTTTCTTTTCTTACGCCTTATGACAGCTTACACGTAAGACGGACAGACAAAGTTGGGACCGAAGCAGCCTTTCATGGGATAGAGGAATATATGTTTCATGCCGAGGAATTTTACCAGAGACTGGAGAGGAGACAAGAAGTGCCTGTTAGGAAAATTTACCTAGCAACGGATGATGCCAGTCTTCTCAAAGAAGCAGAGAGAAAGTGAGTATGGGAACAGCCCTTGATTTGCCCACAGATGACCATGCCCAGTACCAACAATCAATCCCCACTGTGCTTGGTATTTTGTATCCCCATTAAACCAGAAAGAAAATTAAAGGTTAAGTCTCACCCAAACAGTGTGCCGAGATGCAAATGCATTTGATGTTAAAGTCTAGATACCAGATAATCTTGAGACTAAACATGGCTTAGAACTTGGACATTTTGTTGTTGTTAGTTTTTGAAAAAATTTGTTGACTTTGTCATTTGTTTGTCGTCTGTTGCAATTTGCAGGAATGATGTACGTTTTAGAAGTTTGAATAGACAAGAACTATATGGTGGTGGTGGTTATTTTGCCTGACTGCTAAGAAAGCATAAATGCTTGTAGGTAAGCAACCAGATGGCCAACGGCTTTAGGTCCTCTCCAAGGGACCTGGTAATGAGGATTAATGCCTTACCAAAGGGCACTAGCGCACCTCCTTGGTTTCGAACCCGGGTCACCGGATTACGAGACTACTGCTCTACCGACTGAGCTATTGCGCCTTCTCAAAGAGTAGAGAAACTTTGGTTTAAATTTCTCTCTTATTTTTATTTTTGTTCCTTTTACAGATACCCCAAATATACATTTGTGAGCGACAATGCAATATCAAAATCAGCTGGCCTTTCGTCGAGGTACTCCGAGGATTCCTTACGTGGTGTCATCGTTGACATTTATTTCCTGTCTCGTTCTGATTTTCTTGTGTGCACATTTTCATCACAGGTTCGTAACTTTGTTCATCTCGTCTTGCCGAATTCATCACAATATGTGAACAAATACTATGCTAAATATATTACTCATTGCGGATATAGTATCGAAAATAATATCGCTAGTGACATTAGTTTGTCTTGCAATGTATGGTCAACAAGGGATCTAAAAAATCAAGACATTTACAATATATTTTGTCACCTGACGAAGTGTTGCAGCGGCGCACGAAACGTCGTGATCTTTTATATCCCTTGTTGACCATGCATTGCGAGACAAACAAATGTCACTTGAGATTATTATTTTCGATATAACTACTATGCTACCAAATAAGTCACTCTATCTGCAGAAAACTTCTTGGAGTTTGGGATGGTGACATTAAAGATACCATTGGCAATTAAGAAATGGCATGATATCATTCACACTTGAAATGAGAAGCAAGATAAAATTAAGAAAAACCTGTAGATAATCACATCCCACTCTCAGGGTTGACTAGGTGCAGAAAATTGACTGTAAAGAATGGAGATATGGCTCACTTTTGGTGCAAAATAATCATTTGAAATTACAATTTCCAATATCAGTCTTCCAATGTTCGGAAGAAATATATGCCAACTAATTTTAAAACATGTAATACCTTTAGCATTAATGCGCACAGTAATTACTTGCATGTTTGGGGCAGTAAGCTCAGCCAATTACGTGTACCAATCTGTTGTAAGTGAATTTCTTATAACCCCCCGCTCTCTCTCTCTCTCTCTCTTATTCTCTATCTCTCTCTTTCTCTCTTTCTCTATCTCTCTTTGTCTCTCTCTCTCTCTCTCTCTCTCTGTCTATCTCTATCCTGTCTGAAAACAGGTATGTAGGGTAGCGTACGAGATGATGCAGGATCTCCACCCGGATGCTGCTGCCAACTTCCGTTCCCTTGACGACATCTACTACTACGGCGGGCAGAACGCCCACGAGCAGACCGTGCTGTACGAGCACAAGCCGCAAGGTTCCGATGAAATAGAGATGCGGCCCGGAGACTCCATAGGCGTGGCTGGCAACCACTGGGACGGCTACTCCAAAGGGTCAAACCTCAGGTCGACGCCAAGACGAGCCGGTCTTTATCCATCGTATAAAGTTGAAGACAAAACGAACATTGCCAAGATGCCTACTTATCCAGAGGCTGAGAACTTCCAGTTATAACCCAAAGCCGCTTGTCTGTTTGTCAGCAAGTTTGTTTGTCTGTGTGTTCGTCTATATTTGTTTAGTCATACATGTAGTATAGACAATTAGAACTAGGACTGTAGTATACATGGGCTGTAGTATTTCAATCTGGCACTTTTCCCTTCCTTTTTGAAAGCCAGTTTTAAGGGAATTATCTAGATGGAAATCCAATCTGATTATGTGATTCAAACCCAAGAGAAAGTGGTTCTAAATGATTTGTATATGTTAGATCATGCGTGAGACAGTTGATGGTTGATGGTTTGTTTTACCCGACCGTTATGGCTCATGTGTGCTTGTAAAAAAGCAACAAGGGGACCAACGGCTTTAAGTTCTCTCCAAGGGAATTAGTAATGAGGATTAATGCCAGACCAAAAGGCATGATCGCATCGACTTGGTTTCAAACCCGGGACCCTGCTTTACCACTGAACACTCACGCTGACTATGATAGCATTTCCCAACCAGTTTGGTGGTGGAAGGATAGGAGATCTTCTACTTTAAAACGACCCTTTTTTTTTCACAAGAATACCCCAAACTGCATATCTTGTCACTTGTAATTTTAACTATTTGAGGTGCACCTCTAAATGGTTTGTTATTTCCTTAAAAATGTGTTGTGATGAATATTATATTCATACATGGTGTATGAAATCGAGTCATTTGCTATTGATGATGATGATGATGATGATTCACAGCATTTGTATGGCGCAATATATCTGTTTAAAAAAACATCATTATCAACACAGTGGTGTCAGCATGTCTTTGGAAATTTGTATCCTTTTTGGTATAAAACACAAGATGTGATGGGTTGGATTTGTGAAGGAATGCGTGAAATTGGAAGTAAATATTCTGAAACAACCAATGTTTTTAACAGTAATGTGGAGCATGCTGAAATTGTTTGAAGCCAAAGAGGGCATCATAAGGGTGTTTTACTCAGAGCCATATATGCACAGAGTTTGGCCAGCTGTGAGTTCAGCTGGTCACCACAGGATGTATGTTCTCTTATTCTGTGCTTCTCCCTACAATGCCGTATTCGCCATATTGTACCGAACTCAAACCAGCTTGGCCAAACTCTCTTGATCAATGCCATTGGTTTTACTGTTGGCATGGTGTGGTATGGTATTAAATACCAAAACATGGCTGAAGTCTGCTCTTCTTTAGTCCACCTTGTTCCCCTTTAGCAATACTTGTTGTTCTTCAACTTCTATTATTAGAATATCGTGCAAATTTGCATAGAAATACACTCAAAGCTTAATAAGGGTATACAAATACCATATGAGTTTATTACTTTCTGGTATCTTTTGAAGAAATCAGAAATTGATTCTGAGATTATATACATTTTATTGCATGAGCATTTCTGTTGCCAAAAGAAACGCAATGTTGTCTCGAACTTTAAACATCTCAAATTGATCATCTCATTGTAAAAGGAACATCTCGTTTTGTCACCCATTCATGTATTATGATAACTAGGCAAAAAGATTTACAGCTCCCGGAAAAGGCTGTTGCATTGAGTGCACTTATAAAGCAGAAATTGCTTTTTTTTTCATGTACAAACCTTTGTACTCACATAATTTCAACACATTTTTTTGAAAATAACGATTTCATTAAAAGTGTTTTATTTCACTAAATTAGTCGGAGAATTCATTTCCTAGATTCAAATCAGATTTTGTAGTTTTAGACTGTATAGAAAATCAATATTAGGAAGTAATTTTCAGTATTATTTATGTTTTGGAATCATGTGTTAATGTAACAGATAGTGCCTAATTTTCTATTGATCATGACTGTGAACAGTGTGAAGTAAGATTGTAAATTGAATTTCATTGTGAAAGAGATTATGTGAATACCAAATTTTGTACTACATTATAAAAGTATATCGTAGAGAATCTTTAACAAAATAATATTATATGTACATGTAGATCTGTGTATGTACTATGTGGTGGTCCCAAATTTCCTTGTTTTGGAGCCAGATGATGTATTTAGAAAGTATTTTACGAGTTGTCTGCTATAGCTTTGTAAATATCATTGATTTTGATGCAGACATACAGAGGGAATTAGTTTTAATGCAGGGACTGGATTGAAATGAGTTTAGAGCTTTACAAAGTTTGTACACAATTTATTCCAATTAATCATTGTGAACAAATGAAATTCATTTCATCTGTTGCAAATTATACATGTATAAATGGTACAACTTGTAGTTCTTGCATGAAGATTATAGTTGGGTTCTCTTTGTCACTTCTTCACCCTATTACCTGTATTCATTAAAGCAAACCAAAAAAGGTTCAGTATGTCAAGTGAGTTTATGGATTTATGAAGCACCAAGTCGACCTCTTTATGCCACAAAAGTTGCTGCAAGTTGCTATTAAACTCAGTGAAGAAAACAAAACAATCACATCATTATGAGGTCAAATTTGTTTTCTCCATTTTTGACTGGATTAATTTTGTCTATTGAATTTGTTACTGAGCTACTGGAATTTTTTTAGAATGGAGAGGTCGATGAGAATATTAGCTATAGATGCATATATGAGAGATGAAATTTTGTTTGCATACACTCATCTCAACTCATCTTAAGATTTTAATCAGTGAGTTAAAAAAAGGACGTTATTGTTGTTTCTTAATGTAAAGATGATTTTGTATAAATCATTTAAATGTTACAATTCCCTTTGATGAATATTGCATCTTTAATCATGAATTTTTAAATTGTACACCATGAAAACATTTATCAACTCTGTAATTATCACTTTTGAGATGTCATATTAATATATATGTGTATGTACATGTATATCTTTCAGTAGAAATAAAGCTCTATTTTTCTTCGCTTTTTATATGCTTCAGCTGCTTAATCGTGGTTAAAACTGAAATTCAGAAACATAATTATAAATGATGAAAATATTTTACTATAAATTAACTACCATGAACTGCAGATCAAAATATTGAGTGCTAATTTGAACTTCAGTCCATTTTTTAGTTATTATATACTGGCAAGTTTGCTATTAAAACCTGCATTTTTATAGCTACAACAGTCTACTGTTTAGATTTTCTATTAATAAGGACACATGTAATAATAGCAGTTAATTTGTATTGTACTTTCAATGTGTCTAAGCCCCATACAAAGTTAATATTATTGTTTAGTCTTTTTCTTAGAATGAGGTTAACCCTTTTCTCTCCTCATTCACTGAGATCTTTTTTTTAAAATTCAGATGAAGCTGATGCAGAGCTGACATGTGGTACTTGTATTGTTAGACATTTTTCCCTACATAACGTGTATCCACATCTCTCTATTAAGTTTATTGTTGTCCTTAGTGACAGAGAAGGTGCATTGTATTGATTGATATGAATAACTGTAAATGATCATTAAAGTATGATATTTATATCATATTTTTGTGCAAAGACATGTAAATAAAAGAATTATTTGTTGAATCATGAAAATATGCACTGATAAAGTTTTCCGTACATGTTTTACTTAATATTGATTCCGTTGTCTTGACAAAAATATTGTACAATTTGCAATGTCAGATTTATCCTTTTGTTTTTCCTCAGGATCAGAATAACTGTAATTGATTGCCCCATGTATGTGATGTGTTTGTGATTTCTGTCAGAGAGCAAAGATTTGTTTTGGTACATTTGGTAATATATTCTACATGTTTTATAATGTGAAAAATATTGTTAAAATGAATATATGACTCTACTTGCCAGACATTCATAGCTGTCACTGTTGGAGATTGGGGTTAAATAACATGTAAAGATTCCTTTAGACCTGACGCATTCAATGGTCAAAAGAAAGAATAAGAGATAAAACGCTGTGGCAAAATTAAGTGACTTCAGTATGGTGCATGTTAAAAATTAGAATATTATATCAAACAGTGCACTGTTCATTTTTAAATAGAGGCATTGTATGTGTGAATGGAACTATAGTCTTGGATTTCTCTTTCAATGCTTTGTTTTGCTTCTTTGAACAAGCAGATTTTTGGTTATTTGATTTCAGGCTAGAATAAATCTTAGGTATATGCTTTAAAGAAATTATGCAAAGATATGCATGTATGATTATGATAATAAAGGTTTACAATGCAACTTTTTCCAAAAAGCAAGTTTTTTAATAAATAGTTTAGGTTAGGAGGGGGTGGGGGTGTACTTGTAGGTGGAGGGTTATACATTGAGGAGATAACAAGGTCAAAGGCCATTCAGGCTTGTATTCTCACAATCTATATGTATTTTGATGTAGCTGTGATGTCACAAATATTATTCATGTACAATATCAACTATATGTCGGCCCAAATGGAAAAATCATGTACTTCTTTAATTCTAAAGTCATGCTTTCGTGAAGTTCTTGAATATTGATGTAGCATGAAATCAGAAAACTGAAGTGTGCTTTAAATTGTCACAAATTTTGCAGAAATCGAAAGTATAATTTTGAATCACAACATTTTTTTATCTGCAAAAGTTTCTGGTTTTGCAATTTTATTTCCATGTAATTGTTTATGTGTACTTAAACAACTACCGGTATATAAAATATTTTGTACAATGAAGACATTTTTTTGTCTTGAAGAATTTATAGCATCAGTTATGTCTTTGCTGTAGGGCAAAATGATGCTATCGGAGATAACAAACTTACAAGTTACGTGTATGTAACTCCACCATGAAGTCTAGAACAACGTTCTTTTCGAGCAAAATCACGACCATATTTGATTTGAAATGGCTTCCTGATCTATTACTCCATTTCAGCTTATGATTATACTGGTGCATGGGACATAGTAGCTCAAATTCCATTGAAGAGGTTTAAATTCACCATGATTTATTAACTTCCTCCCTGGTCCGAAATTATTTATTACTTTTTCAATTGGACAATTTTGAGTGTACTGGTATATTTATTGCCTGCGGCCCATTGATCATAGGGATGTATATATACTACATTAATGGAGGTTTTAACCTTTGGTTAAGATAAACCTTATTCACGAACTTTCGCTTTCTGGTCTGCTTCATTCACATTTATATTCATTTTTGATCACCTCTTCTATCATGTATTAATATCTTAATAGCATATTTGCACATTTGTTTCTGTTCATTTTCCACTGGTGTTTTAGATACCATATATTATTGCCTTTAGCAATTATGAGCAGAGTAAAAAAGTACACGATTGTTGCACATTTTAGTGTGCAATATCAACCAGCTATTAACAAAAAAGAAGAATTTATTGTTGTTGCTATATCATGTTGTGTAAAATCCTGCTTTTCTTCCCACTCAATAAATTTGAGGACTAGTGATAAAAAGAATCTGTGCTTCAGTTTATGAGATTGATATTAGTTTTGAATTATTATTATTTTTTGTCAGCACTTATTTTCTTGTTTTTAGATTAGATACCTTTTATTTCTCTGCCATATTTTCCTCCTCCCTTGTTACTGTTTTTGTTTTTATTTTTTTGTCAATCCTCACTTTCTTTATCTCTTTCTTTATCTCTTTCTTGTCTTCATATCAGTTTTTGGTCTCTTAATATCTAATGATTACCTAGCTTTATAGGACATTATAAATCATGTAAAGAAATCCTATGATGTGTACAATTATGATTATCTCAATTTTTTGTGGTACTTGGAAATCATAGATGAAATAATGTTCAGTTTGTATTATGTCAGAAGCAATTACTAGCTGTTAATTTGCCATGGTAGCTTCTTTTCCCATGCATGGAAACCATATTTATATGTATATCCTGTATCTTGTCATGTGACCCATATAAAGGTGTACTGTTAATTGTGATGGAGTATATATAAAGTACACATGGGTGTGGGTGTGTATTGATTCTGTAATAAAAGAAAATGAATAAATAAAAAAGGATGATTAAAGAGCAAGGTGTATTGTATTACTTATTTGGCTAGAGATAGAGGATGATCGTGAGAAATAACAGGGTACAGCGCTGTATATGGATGCTGCTTGCTTCCATTTTTTAAAGGCGGCTGATAAAGGGAGCACCATGAAGACTAATTTGAGTTAGGGAATAATATCCTGTAAGAGAAAACAAACTAACGATGTGATTAAAAACGTGTCATCAGGTATTCACATTTTCTAGCAAAATGATTTCTCACAAGTTGGGGAACAGCTAGTCCTCATTTTGTTTTCTAATATAGCAGTAATTTGCTGATGCGGCTTCAACAATTCAAGTAGGGTCTACGCCATCCCAAGAAAAAATAAACTAGCAATACCTGCCATGTCTCTGTGCAGCCCCTACCTCTGAGTGAAATAAGTATTTCAGAAAAAATTAAGGAACTAAATCCACAAAGGTGAAAATATTTTGAAACGTGGTCGAGCTTATGAGAAATAGAAGCTCTAGATCTATAACTTCCACAAAATGACTCGAGATGTTTAACATACTAAACCTTTAGTATCAAAAACTGACATATATGTGTAATATCTAATTGTTTAAAATTACATGATAAATATGTATGGCTGTTACAACCGATTGAATCAGTTTTGTATTTGGCGTTTGAACAAAATAAATAGAACTTCTTGTAGGGAGTCTAGTACTCCATTTAGCGTCTTGAGTCAAGACTAATTCTGATGTAACAACAAACCCTGAAACTTGAAAGTGAAAAGAAATCGTTTGAAGTCTACCTGCTACCAAATCCAAACTCAGATTTTTGTACCGTCTAGGTGAGTAGTAAAAATAAGACTTTCTTTATTGTTATTTTAGGTCAAAGATGTTTTACAAGCAAAACTTATACACATGTAGTTTGTGATTGTTAATGTAAAATTGTTTTGTAATTTTAATTGTATCCCCATATGTTTATATTTATGTGTGGTACAAGGATAGACATCCATATGAATGAACTGAGCTGACTTCTTTGTACTCTGTTGTCGTTGGTTGGTGTTGGCAGTTGTTGGTGTGTTTTACGCTGTTCTGATATATATGATTTCAAAGCAGGAATAGAAAATGGGTCGACTTTAGTCCAGAAACATTGTTTTGAAGATAAAGTAATATCAATCTTGAGAGGGAGCTATAGACAACTTAACGAGTTTATTATTCACAATTTCATCACTTAAGAGTTAGTCAGACTAAACTTTAGACTCAATTTTAACTGCGACAATGATCATTGAATATTGTAGGATCGCATATGCTTCCAATATGTTCATTTGAACCAAATTCATGACCCCATACTATAACTTTGTATCACTTATATTAAAGTTGAAGTCTAGCATTTTGTTTATCATAATCATTTTAAACCTACAAGTATTTTCCTTGGCTTTGGCTTCAGAAAAATTGGATTGAATTAATTTGGTATTTAAAAGAAAAAGATGTGCACTCATCCTCTGTAGATATTTAACCAAAAAAAAAAATCAAATGCCAGTTATTACATGTGTACGTACATTTTTTTTTTATACAGAATGGGTGCTGAAACTTGAAAGAGAGAATTGACTTATATGATGGCGAGACACAGCAAGCTACAGCTCCAAGTCCTACACCTGTATAAAGCTTTCCTGCGGGTAGCAGAGAACAAACCAGGAGTGAAGCCTCAGATCAAGTATGAATTCAGGAAGGGAGCCAAGATGCCTCGGACAGATTTAATGCGGATAGAATATGTAATGAGGAGAGCGGAAAGACAGCTTCAGATGCTACAGACTGGAAGCGTAGATCGAGCTGGAACGTTTACAAATGAGGAAGCCGATACTAGCAGCGGAGTTAAGGTGGACTCTAAAAATGATAGTTCTAAATCATCAACGGATTCGAATAGGTGATGCAGTCCATCTGCTCTTCCATGAGGCACAAGGACTCTGTTCTCACAGGGTGTTCTTTTCCCAGTTCCCATCAATTGGAGGAAAATGGTGCATGATGAGAAGAGATGGCCTGTGATAGAACATGACTGTATACTTCAGTCAACACTACAACTGTCTCTTGACAGCGTTTAAATAAAGATCAGATTGTACTAAGAAGACAAAATGGAGGCATCTATTTATCAGATTGTTCATGGTGACAATTTGACAAGTGATGTTTTCCTCAAAACCTTTGGAATTTGGAAATGTGGCTTATTGTTCATCATTTTGAACAAAATTGCCAATAATAATAAGGTATGCAGTGTATGCATTAGCAGTTTTCCATACAGTGATTGATGTAACTTTCTTTCTTTACAAGTTGTTAGCTATAAAAAATACCACTGCCATCATTCTTCCTGTTGAGTGTTATTTCAGCATTCTTGTACTCAGTTGTAAATTAACTAAATCCTTTAGAAAGTATACATATTTTGTTAACTGTAGTTTAAGGTGATTGATTTCAAATTAATACCCTGATCATGTCTTAAAGAAAGGGTGTGTGATATATAATCATATAATTATAAAAGGAGGCAGTGATGATAGCAAGTTTTTTTGTCCACAACCTCTAAGAACCCCTAACAAAATTGGAGTTTATGTACTGTATAACTGTTTGAATGGGAACAAAAGTTTTCTACCATATTTCCAAAAATGATTTGAACCCTTACATGTATATGACCCTACATTCATGATAAATATTGGAAGGAATACCGGGTAGGTGGGTCAACTTCAAAAAATATTTAAAAATTCAGTACTCAAGACTATTCATCCAGCTTAACGACAGTAAAAGATGTAGTGACTGAAAAAGGGGGGAAAAAAAGTGTACATTATGTTAAATCTTGGTTATAAAAGATATCTAGTGCTTAAATTGTCAGAATTGAGGGCAATCAAATAATGCAAATTGTCTAAAGTTAGGTTGAACTGCACCCGCACTTTCCACAGAGCCTTGTGCAATTTGTCATAGAAATTACACATTTCATATATGATCTACAGTGTACTCATGTTTCGTTTATTTAGTGAAAATTTGTATTGAAGATTGGGTTCAATGTTTACTTTGACATTCAAAAGTGTGTGATATATATACCGGGTACATGTATAATAAAATGACAAAAAATTGATGACATTGATGTTTGTTTGTGTTTCAAATTAAGAAGAAAAATGTCTGCCTTATGTGTAATAATGGAATGGTAGTGGTGACACTGGGAGAGATGCATTGCATTTGTTTAAAAATGTAAATCTTGATTTCCAATAAAGTGTGAAGGTTTTAAAACTGATAAAACGTGGGAGGTACAGAGGTTATTTGCTGAATAAGCTCCAAAGTTTAAATATTACGTAAGATGCAAAAGATGACCCCCCAAAAAAAAATCATAAAATGATCATTATATTGAGAATTTTTATAATCATTTGTAGTTATTCTATATATCGACCTATCAGATGTTCCATGCACAACTGAGGGGCAGTTGTTTGACACAACATGCCATTTCTTTCTCATTTCTTCATTTAATATTTTCATGCCACCATGCCTTCATCCGTCTCTTTCATTACCCTCTACACATATGTCACTTTATCCACCTCTCCTCTTACTGTCTCTATTCATTAACCTTTCTATACTCGTGCTTACTCACAGTCTATCTGTCTTCATGCTGATCATCCCTCTCTTTTTCTCTCTCCCTCTCCTCCTCCCTCTGTCCCTCCTCTCCTCTCTCTCCCCTTAGTCCCCCCCCCCCCCTCTCTTGATCTCTCTCTCCCGATCTCATTTCCTTCCCTGATTCAAAATGCATTACATTTCAACTCCAATATCGGATCTGTTCGACATATCTACTTGCAATCCAATCACGATTAATTTCACTTAACGGTATATACCCACACAGTAGGTAATCAGGCTCTAATATGCATATACGTGTAATATGCCATGCATTTTATTGCAATAGTCACACACTGCACCTTATATCATCACAAAGCGACATTTCCCTGCAATACAGTAACTTTAATATGAAACAAGTCAACACATTTTCCTGATTCACCTGGAATATAATTGCAAAGACATTCAAGAAATTAACTGAATAACAATAGCCTTGTGAATCATCTCATGAAATGAGTAAACATTACAATGACATATTACATAATGAGACACAATTTTCATACGCAATAAAATAGGCTATTAAAATTTTCCCGAGCTAATTTGTTGAAAGCTTTTGTAATTCCTGTTCTTGTAATATTCAATCATTCTACAACCTGATTTATGATGCACCATTTTGCACCTGGACATCATTATAAGATTTGACTATTCCTGAAAGTTAATTCGTTCATTGGAAGCTCTCTCTGTCATCCTATAAACTGCTGCCTCCATCTCAGCAACTGCAGAATAGCTAACCTTAGATGAGATTCCATCGCTTTCACTGCCCACACCAAATTTCCTTGTCAATCTAGTATCTAGACCTCTGTTCGCAATGTTCTTGGAAACCAACGTGCTTGATGTTTCCATTGTCAGAAAGCTAGGATGGTGTTACCAAATGGTTGAAATATCATTCAAGAAGCATGGAGCAAACATCTTACTCTTTCAATAACTTTTTCCATTTACCCTTTGCTCATACATATACACATACCATGTACCAGTATTCGATATAATCCACGAGTGCTCTACACATAGAATTATCACAATGCTCTGTGACAAGACTTCCTACATTAAAATGTCTGCACAAAGTGCACGAAACCACTATCATCTCTCTGCTTCCTTCACTACATCCTGTGTCTTTGCTGATTTTTCTTTAGTTTCCTCTGAAGAAAGGCCAGTCAGTTGACAGCTGACGTCCCACAGCTTGGCCGCGGCCTCGTCGTCCTTGCCACTGGCATCGCATTCAGACTTTTTACAGTCTCTGTATAAAACAAAAAGAAAAACCAAGGGAAATTGATTATGAATACATGGCATTACCTGAATTGTGCTGGGTAATGAAACCATATATCTTACCAAATAATTGCATCTAAGAAACTAAGTTAGAAACATTTCAGCCATTTCACAGTAATGCTGACACCTCAAAACACAAACACAAAAAGTTGACTAAAAGGATAATACACGTGTAGGTCATTTTGTCACTCTGATATGTAACAAAGCAAGCAACAAAAAATAACTATAAAACTTCATATCGTATCATTTTGATTCATAATTTAAAAAAAATTGTGGTTTTAAAATCTTAATTTGCTCTTTACTGGGGTAAAGTCTGCAATATATTTGATTTTCCTACAGACTGAGAGAAATTTATTTTCAAGAACTATCGATTTCGTTTTTGTGTGCAAATAAATGATAATAACTTATTAAATGTAAGCTTCCAATTAACAACAGATTAAACTAGGAAAACTCGCCTGAAATATTGACCAGAGACTTTTTCCAGCTCTGGATCCACAGCGCAGTAGACAGAGGTTTGGGCCCCTTGCTGTGGAGACCTCACAAAAAGCCAGAATATTGGACCCAGGATAGCCATAGAGAATCCCGACTGGTGCATCCCTGTATGTCTACCTATATTGGTCTTCACTACTCCTGGATGGAGAACATTTGCGGTTACACCAGTACCTAGAAATTAGATGGCATCAAATGGAACAAAACTGTGTTAATTTTGTATTTTTCACCTTGCATTATTTCCTTTCTTCCTATTCATGAGATATACTCGTTTAGTTTTCAGCATTTCTTTAGGGCTTACATCACTCTGATTCCAATTTTATATCATGAATTTATACCACATCTCAATGTCTCAGTGGGCACACCCCATTTTGCAGTGACACTCTCTATTCAGTGGCTGCAGTGCCCTCTGAAAATGACAAAACTAAGACCACTTTTAATACTCATATCACTTTGTTTGGGGTCTTGTGACTGGACTAACTAAACTGTCCTTAAAATTGACATCACAGCCTGTTATATGTGTGTCTTAATTAACATTAGCTTTTCCAAGAGAACCACAGACATAAACATAGTTTGAAGGCACTATCACCCTTTATATACATACAGTATATACCCTCATTATATTGTAGAAAGATCAAGTTGCTTTCTCTTTGCTTCTCCATTCTTTTCAAATTTTCTCATCCCTGGGCCCCTAAGGTTTTTTGGAGGGTTTTCAAGGGGGTAATGAATGAGGAGAACATTACTTGAGATAATGACACCGATCTAGAATGGAATTCGGGAGTTACATCAAAGACAAAAATGTCAGAGAGGGGAAGTGAGGCTAACAGGATAAACACCACTGCTTTAGGTAGACCAGTTTACTAAAATATGACAGGGCATATCATATAAACTGTACATAACGTTACCTTCTAGTCGTTTACTCAACTCCCTCGTGAAGAGAACTTTGGCAAGTTTGCTGTTTGCGTAGGCTTCCGCTGAATTATACCGCTGATCGCTGTTGATGTCTTCAAAGTTTATCTTGCCCACTTGATGAGCCACTGAAGAAACATTTATGATTCTGCTTGGGGCTGATGACTTTAACTTGTCCAGTAGAAGATTTGTCAGATAAAAGTGACCTACGGTAAAGAAATGTCCAAAGAAAAGAAAATTGAATTATCTAGAAAAAAATGAAGTAGCTGTACATGCCAATTTCTCTTTCTTTTATACTGCAACCTGTTTCTTTACTACAAAACACTAGAGGTTTCTTCTTAAAGTAATCTTGAAGGCAAAACCATAGAAGCCTGTTTTCATTGTAATTATCATTTTCACCTCATTATTTCAGCCCAAAAGCTAGGAGATGGAATGACTTATATTTGTCTATTCATTGCCCCATTCCTTTCCAATATATTATATGCACCAAAACAAGATATTTATGCCAACAAAAGGAATAAAGGTACCGTACCTACAGGTATGCCTCATACTGCAGCTTCCAAATCATGTTTACAACACTGATGGACAGTTTTCCTCCCCCCCCCCCTTCATGTATTTGTCATGTGTCTTTTTGAAAAGTAGAAGTTATTACCTAAATGATTGACCCCAAACTGCATCTCAAAGCCATCTTCAGTCTTCCACTTGGGGCATCTCATCAAACCAGCATTGTTGACCAGAACATCAACACCTTCTTCATCTGAATCAGTGGACAACACATATTAATTGTCTCAAATACTGATGTATTCAGTTCGTTTAATTGATTAGTATCATACATCAATCATATCATTCTCTTTACATAGCACTGATTGTCAAGTTCATATGAAGATCAGATTAGATCAGATCATTTCTACTTGAAAGAAATTCAAAATTTGACATGGACAAGCCCCATCACCTTTCATGCTCCGTCTTGATAAAAAAAACAACATATTAACAGAAGACGCCTGTTATGGGCTTCCAAAGTACTACTTTAATCTTCTTATTTCATGTACCGTATTAGTGATCTAATTTTAGTTTAAGCATTCTGTTAATCAAAGGTAAATAAAACTTTATGTTTTTAGGAGTAGAAACTATGTCAGAATATGAGACACATATTCAGTAGAAGCACAGAGAGCTGACAGTAATTGTGCATCTTCCAAACTGTATTGCACTCCTACCTGTTCGACATTGATGACAGGAACACTATCATCTGAATGAGACATGTCACAGATTTAAACTTGAGGTTACGAGATGGACCACTGTTTACCTGAGGTGATTTTGTCAGCAAACTGTCTTATAGAGGATAGGGAGGCTAGATCCAACTGCAAGACCTTCACATCTGTATTGCCACTAGCAGCCACGATCTCCTCTCTGGCCTTTTCTGCCTTCTTAATATCTCTGCAGGCAAGGATGATTTTGCCACCTAAAAACAAACAAAAATAATTACAATCAATCACAGTAGGACAATAATAAGAGCTTGTAGATTTTTTTTTTATAGTGCTCTAATCCACTACCTTTGGTGCTAAAGGTGCTCCAATATTATCTCAGCGCTTGCTAGAATACTGATTTTGGTGTTCATAACTTTCAGGAATGTCCTTGATACCAGCACCTATTTAACACCTGGGTGAAGAGTGGCAAAATGTAGATAAATGTCTTCCCAAAAGTCATCTCTCTCTCTCTCCTTTCTCTCTCTCTCTCTCTCTCCCCCTCTCTCTCAGACAAGGGTAACTTTTCTACTTACTGGCAAAAAATGCAAATTTCAATAATTGTTTTTTCCAATCAAAGCCTATATACAGTTTCAATACACAGTATACAAGTACTTCACTGATAATCTTGAAGGCCAAAACTAAATTTAAATACACTGGCAATGTTACTTTATGTCACATGCCTTCTACTTTTTAACCATCTTCTTTTTTGTTACAGTTTATATTTTCATACCTCTTTTTGCCAACTCCAATGCAGTCTCTTTCCCAATACCAGAATTTGCTCCAGTGATGATTACAGTTTTGCCATCAACTCTGGCCTTGCTCGGACATTTATCACCACCATAATAGTCTCTAGAGTAGGGAAGACAAGAGTTAAAAGATTTGTTGTTATTATCAATGTTGTTGTCAACTGTTAATTGTCAGCTAAAATTTTCACTTTCAGACATACATGCATTAATTTAGTTAATCGAGGTCTAAATGGAATAGATCTAGTATAGAGTCTATAGATTCTATAGAGTCATTGACATTTATTTCTGAATAAAAAAATAGTGATAATGAGTGACATAGGCAGTGCAGTGCACACTACAGCTACAGAAAATCAGGCGCTCGTGTAGTTCCGTATCCATTTTTTTAGCAGTTTAATATCCATTCTTAGGAAAGGAATTTTAGCCCAATGTTTGGCGCTAGTGTAGTTCCGTATCCATTTTTTTAGCAGTTTTATAATATCCATTCTTAGCAAATGAATTTTGGCCCATTTTTTAACTAATTTTAATAATAATCATATATTGCATTTTCCACCTGAATTTGGATCACATCCGACATTGGGAAACCTTCGTTTAGGGCTTCGATGTCGACGTTGTCGCTCAGTACCGTCTCTACGCTGTAGTCCTGCACCTCAAACTGAAGCTATCAGTCCAAAATTATGCAGACTTCTCGTATGGGCGATACCATAAACCATACGAGAAGTCCGCAAAATTTTGTACTGATAGTTTCAGTTTGAGGTGCAGGACTACAGCGTAGAGACGAGACGGTACTGAGCGACGATGTCGACATCGAAGCCCTAAACGAAGGTTTCCCGATGTCGAATGTGATCCAAATTCAGGGGGAAATTAAATGATTAAAATTAGTTAAACATTGGGCTAAAATTCCTTTGCTAAGAATGGATTTTTAAACTGCTTAAAAAAATGGATACGGAACTACACTAGCCCGAAAATGTGCCTCGCCTTTACGGCAACGACACCGGTTCTGCCGAGAGCCTAGGCAGCCAGGGCCGGGGGACGAGATGGGCGAGCAGTACCCCTCATCCCGCTCAGTTATACACGTACATTCAACATTCAGTTTTAACAGTCATTTCTTTCCTGAACAATATCCGTCCTATACTCACTTTAGTAGCAACGTGCCTCCGACTAATGCCCCAAATGTTGTGAAAGGTAAAGTATATCTTGGGTGAAATATTCTATTTACAATATCCATTTTCCTCACTCAATCAATGCTAAACGTGTTGTACAACAATCCCTGGATGATTATTACGCAATCATTACATTGAGTAGCTTGGGTTTCAGCCGGATCTATTAAATCTGTGTCATCTGAAGAGCTAAAGGTTCCTACTTTTACTTTATATTTTTTCCTAAATGTATCTTTTTTTTAAAATATGTGAAATACAGCAAGATATTTAATGATATTTGTATTATTAAAGTAAAAAACTGGATGGAATTAAACACAATTATAAAATAGGACCAAATACCAAGACTAATTAGCTCAAGGACGTATTTTGGGATATTTGTTTTATGTTTCCTTTTAATTTCTAATATTTGCTTCGGCTTCTTCTTCTTTTCCTTCTTCTTCTTATTTCCCTTCCTCTTCTTCTCCTTCTTCTTCTTCTTCTTCTTCGATCTCCTTCTATATTAAGTTCTTCTTCCGGCTAATTAATTCAAGCTTCTTCCCCCAAAGTCCTCCTATAAGTAGCTCAATATGAGCCTATTAAGATCCTCCTCCCTAATTCTTCTTCTTCCGTTCTTCCACCAGGGGCGTACGCAGGGGGGGGGGGGGGGGGGGGGGGGTTTGGGGGTTCAAACCCCCCTTTGGTATTTTTATGTATGTAAACCCCCCTAAAAAAACCTAAAACCCCCCCCCCACGGCTAACCTAAATAAGGTGACCTTACCCCCCCCCCCCCCCCCCCAACGACAAAAATGTAAAATTATGAAATTTCGAGACCAAAAAAAAAAAAAAATGTGTCCGCTTACCCCCCCCCCCCCCCCACCCCTACCCCCCCCCCCCCCCCATTGAGCGACTTTTCGGCTGGCTGAGTCGTTGCGATTTTTTTTTGACCTCCAAAAAAAAAAAAAAGTGTCCGCTTACCCCCCCCCCCCCCCCCCCCCCCCCACTGAGCGACTTTTTGGCTGACTGAGTCGTTGCGATTTTTTTTGACCTCCAAAAAAAAAAAAAGTGTCCGCTTCCCCCCCCCCCCCCCCCCCCCCCCCCCCACTGAGCGACTTTTCGGCCGGCGCGATTTTCAAATTTTCGGGAGCAAAATATTTTAAAACCCCCCCCCCCCCCCTTGAAAAAATCCTGCGTACGCCCCTGTCTTCCACAATAACTCTTCCTCCTCCTCCTCCTCCAAGCTTAGAACTTCTTCTTCCTCGATCTTTTTCTTCTTCTTCTGCTTCTTCTTCTTCATTAAATTCTTCTTTCCTTAATGCCCTCGCCTAGCGCTCCTCCTCCATCCAAGCTTAATTCTTCTTGGCTTCTTCGATCTTCTGGCTTCCGATCTTCGTCATGCGGCCTATCCCCCCGCCTATCTCACGGTAGCTATAGGCTGTGACAGGTCTATTTTGATAATTTACATTTTTAAAGAAAACACGAAACATGATTACATATATTGGTCCATATATTTACGGAGCTAAAAGTAGATATTGGTATAACCGTATAAACCCGATTGTTATTGTTTTTTCCGGTTTTTTTACACCGGAATTTTTAATATGACTATTATATTTTTGTTTCCTCAGTTGAACAGTGACTTAATGATCGAGTTTGGAGCAGTTTAGTCAGTCAAATGATGTATTTTTCATATCCGCGAAGTCAATTTCACGGTAAAAATAGATTAACAATAATCATTTTTATTTAGAACCATTTCGCGCGCGCCCAGTAGTTTGGCGCGGACTGAATCATAACAAACGGTGGGTGCGCTATTAAAGAAGCCGTCGGGAATTTCGTAGATGCTGTTCCCAAAATACATAGGCCTATATTTTGAATAAACGGAGGGGTTGTGGCTTGTAAACATGATGGAGAACGACGAGCAGGACGTTGTTTCTATGGTTGATGTCTTGCAGCAAGATAATGAACTTGAAGAAGAAGCAGCAGCAGTGCTTGGTGATAGTGATGATAAATGTTGCACATATCCGATGGTGAGTTGATACGGTACCTCACCTCGATAGAGACCTAAGAGTACCCCGGGCCGACTCGTTGGCGCTATGTACTATGTAGGCTATGTAATATGTAGAGTGCAGTGAGCTGAGCTGAGTGAATTGAATCGAATGGTGCAATATGTACATGTGTGGTATTAATATCCTGATTATAATATGGCCTGGCTGGCAGACTTGATCAAACTATGAACTATACATCCTTTGGTAGGACATTTTATATTAGCCACTCTCTACCCAGGTGATGTAAATGTGTGTTGCCGTTAATCTTCATTTCATGAAGCCTGCACTTTTCAGGAAGAAGAAGAAGAAGAAATGGGTATCTGATTAAATTACCATCGGAGGAAAATAGAAATCCCTTGAATGCTCGAAACTTTGCAAAGGTTGCTCAGATATTTTAATGTTATACAGCACTTAAAACGTTAAAAGCATGAACTATGAAATGCTTCATAAATGTAGCTAGGTCTATGGTTAATTAGAGAGCCACTGACTGTGATGATCTATTCGCATGGACTTTTGCACAGTCATTCTTGCATCCATACAATTTTTTGAATGATAATGAACATTCCTAAACATTTTTAAACATGTAGATCTAATGATCTATACAAAAGAATTGTTGATAAATGGCATCGTATTCTCACTGGTACCTCTACATTTCATCAAATGAGAAAGTTTACTTCAGTTATTACGTTAATGATAAACATGTACCTTTTTATTTACAGGGCTATGTGAGCAGACAAGCTCTGTATGCTTGTTTAACATGCAGGGGTAATCGGGACTCTTTGGCAGGTATCTGTTTAGCTTGCAGCTATGAATGTCATGAGGGTCATGAGTTTGTGGAGTTGTACACAAAAAGGTAAGCAACACAAGCATTACAGACAAATGTTGCTGTCATCTTATTGAAACGTGTGTTGATTTAAATGTATTTTTACCGGTAAGTGGGATGTTGGCAAACGTAATAATGGCGTTTTTTTTTTAACCGATGCCATCGTCTCACAGTGGTGCATCAGCATTATGTTTCTCATGATGGCCCTAGTCTGTGGTGACAAAATGTTTCTAAAAAAAGGTCTGGGAAAAAGAAAAAACATTTGTTTGTGTATTTTGTATCATATAATCGATATAACTTCAGGTTATTTTTGTTGGAAAGTGTTTTCAAGATCAAGTCATACTTACAATATTGATTAGAGAAAGGAGGTCAATCAAATCAAAGGGGAAATAATAAATAATGATTTCAGGCAACTTCTCTTTTCATTTCTATTACAGGGACTTTCGTTGTGATTGTGGGAATACAAAGTTTCCCAACTTGACTTGCAAGCTCATCAAAGTAAGTTATAACCCATAAAATCTTGAATATTACACCCTTTCCATATGTTACTTTTTCCCCTCGAGCTGTTTATTCATATTTCATTGAAGTGGATAGATATACAGTACTTTGAAGTGCAATAGGGTATCTACTATCTAGAGGATGTATAATACTTTTTGTTTGTTTGTTTGTTTATTTGTTTATTTTATTTTTTTACTCGGGTGGCAAAGTCACCTGCTTATTCTGAATTAATGAACATTAGAGGTATATAAAAACATGTTGTGTCATTTGTTTGGTCTCATAAGTTTGCTTTTATTATTTTCAGATTAAACAAGCAGTGAACTCAGAAAACCAATACAATCACAATTTCACCGGAGTCTACTGCACATGCAACAGGCCTTACCCCGATCCCGAAGATTCGGTAAGAACTCTGATGATCTCCCTTTCTTTAGAACCGGAAACTTTAATATTGCTTGCCTGGAGCTCGAAGGGTGTTAATGCTGTGTTAAAGTATATGAAGTAACACTCTTCTGGCTCTAAACAGATAATATAATGAACAATTAACAGCCTCCTTGCAGCAATATTAGACCACTTCTAACATCTATGAAAGGCTTTTTTTTTTGTGTCTAATGGTGACCTTCTCCTCCCCCTCCCCCTCTTTTCTCACTTTCCAGTTCATACAAGACCTAAACATATTGCCATCTTTTCTGTAACCATGCCTTCCATAGCACAAAGATTTTTTTTCTGTCAAAATCTAAATTAATTTTCAAAGGAATTGACTATCTTATTGCCATTGTGCTGAAAAAGGAAGTAATGGTCATACACTGTCTCCTCTACAATGCATAAGACCAACTGCCCATGGATGAATATCCAGCAATATACAAAAAATATAGGTCTGCAGGCCTTATGAAAATTTTCTGACAGTTCCTGAGACCGGCGTGTTGGTCTCAGTCTTCTCAGAGGACTTATGGCTACTTTTATGAGGGCTCACATTCCATCACAATACTGACAATGTTCTAGTGGGCTGTTGGTTTACTGGGATGTCTTGTTTTTCACTCACACCTTTCTCCACATAAAAACCTATATGCGAAGATTTCTGACGATTGTCCATTAGAATTGCAGAATTCAGCTTGACTTATTCCCAGTAAAAACAATAATTGCAATTTTCTTTTTATAGCTGTATATGGTTCTAGGATTTAAACAATATATATAGATACATATTTATGCATCCTATCGTTACTATTTTCATGAAGTGATGGTAGTGAGCAAAATCCGCACGCAAATTGTATGCGATTTTCATTCACTACCGTCACTTCGTGAAAATAGGGACGATATAGACATCCATGTGAAGTTAATCTCTTCTCTTATTTCTTCAAATCCAGAATGAGGATGAGATGATCCAGTGTGTGTTGTGTGAAGACTGGTATCATGGTAGGGTAAGTGGTAGTATGTCTTCTGTAACCCCCCACCCCCTTAACCTCTTCACCTTCACCTTCACCTTCCAACATCGATTGTAAATTTCACTATTAAAGTCAGTGAAAGTGATTTGTAATGCATTGCACATGAAAACTTGCCCAAAACACCTTTGGAGGAACATGACTCTCATTATATACTGAAAGAATTCTTTGATGCCTTTTATAATAAGTATTTAATCCCTAATAAAATAAAGTTATGTGGAGCTTCTCGTCACTTGCTCCACACCACCAACACCACCACAATTCTATGTTGAAGATATTTTAATTGGCTGTACAATTTGGTGTACCATTTTGTGTGATAAACTCATGTTAAAAGATTGCAGTATTGATTTTGGTGGAGGTGATTGTGATTCATGCAAGTAAAATTGTTAATGAAAAAGAAGGAAATGAATACATCTTACTCCATTTTATTTGTACGAAACAGCATATTGGATGTAGCAGTGTACCAGATAGTGACGGCTACCAAGAGATGGTGTGTGAGACATGTATGGACAAATGTGACTTTCTCTGGAACTATACTCTCCACAGTGTAGGTATGTACATCAATTCAGTGCTTGTTGATCTGTGTTTGCCACTCTCAACCCAGGTGCGGTAGTGCCTGGTTACCTGTTGGAAATAAATTACTTGAAAGCTTGTAGCAACCTCCAGCAGCTTTATTAGGATAAGCCAGGGTAATAGCAGACCTGCCAACCAGTACAATTTAGTCGTATTTAGTACGATTTTTAGAAGCAAATACGACAGTATGATTTTCCTTAATAAAATACGATTTAAAAAAATAAAAAATAAAAAAAAAGATTTTTTTTTTTTTATATTTATATTTTGTGTTTGTGACATTTTCAATGGCAAAATTCCCATTATGTTTTGTTATGTATCCTTCAAGCATCTCACATCAGCAATTTGGGTATGTTCATTGGTTCATCGAACACACCAGTCATGACAAAATCGTTCATATTCAACCAATGATCCATAAAAAAAATTCTTCCTGTAGGTAGGAACTGTAAGAGGCATTGATCCGCGTAACAATCCGTGTTTTTTTTTCAAGAATACATTTTTTGGGATTAAAGAATACAGTTTTTGAACTCTAGAGGTTGGCAGGTCTGTAATAGTAGTACATTATCATCTTTATCATCCCTTGTTGCTATTATTAGAATACAAATGATATACTTGCCATGACAGCATAATACATGTATTTCGGCATAAAAATTAAAGGCTTAGAAAGGAAACAATCAACTATTGTGAGCTTTTTATCTCAGAAAGCTTCTATGCAAATTTATCTTAACCTTGCAAGCTGTAAGGCCAACATTTTTTCTCAAAATCGCCTTCAATTTTTTTGAATAGTTGGTATCTGATTTCTTGAAGTTTAGATCTGTTGATTATTGATTTTGATATCCAGGCCAATCCGAGTCAAATGTATAGATCTGCATTTATGCTTCCTTACATTTTCATGTTAATTTTGTGTTTTCCAAACAGAAACCAAAGTTGTGAAAGAGGAAACATCTTCCAACATCGATGTGACGTCTACTGACGAGAATAAACCAAATTCAAGCAAATCCCAAGAAAACCCTTCTGCCAATGGAAGTAGCCATTCAGTGGATACTAAGGATGCAGCATCAACATCATGTGATAGTGTGACAGTGAACAATGAAGCACAGAGTGAGGGAAATACTGGAATAGATTCCCAGACATCAGGTCTAGCTTCTTCTGACAGTGTTTCATCTGCAGTAATGGGTACTGTCTCCAAGGAATCATCAAGCACTTCAGCCATTGCAACGGTTGCTGGATCCGATGGTGTTTCATCTTCGACCGACTCCAGCAAGATGTCAGGTGCAGGAGATGCCAACAAAACTGATACCTGTCCAGAAAGCAGTGTTGCAAGCAGTTCTCATGGCAGCAACACTGTTAAAGTGGAATCATCAGCTACAATATCTGTAACTCTATCAGCAACCAAGAAGGATGAAGCCTCAACATCTGAGGCAGCTTCATCATCGTCAAATGCTACAACATTGCTAACCCCAGATGACAAGCGAGTCTCACTAGCTCCCGCACAAGGAAGTGCAGAGGAAGACTTGACAGCAGGAGATTGCCGACTGAAGCAGCTCAGCAACAGAACGGTTGAAAGGAAGAAGGGTTCTGTTTTCTGGCCTATTGGGTGGAGAACCAAGCTTTGTACCTGTACAGAATGCAAGGTGAGAGAAAGAATCAATGTCTGAGGTTTTAGTATCCCTCCATGTCCTGAGTGATACCAGGTATTTGTGTTGTAAGATAAATGATTACTTTTTGCACTGTGGTGACAATGTCATTCCTAGATTCAACTGAATCACAAGATGAAATAGTCTAGGAATCAAGGCTATATGATGACATAAATGGTACCCTGGGGTACCAAAAAAAATTCGGCCATTTTGTTGAATTATTATTATTTTTTTTAAGGCTGTACCCTGGGTTACCAAAAAGTGGGAAATTATTTTTGTGTGATTTTTTCAACCTTCAATTGTGTCCAATGTTCTTGTAAAAAATCCTTTAAGTCCTGTATTTCTAAAATTCATTGTTGTTATGAGTAATTATTCTATTATTGATATCATTTCATGCTGTTATGATACACCCTGTATTATTATTGTGGTATAATTAAAATTATTAATTATAAATGAAAGTTCTATTTTGTGTTATGATGCTATCTGTGTACAGCAGTCATGATAATCTCATGTGTTAACTATGTCGATGATGCGATGTTTGTTTGTTGTTTTTTTTTGAAAGAGTATACAGGTACGGTACGTACGTGCAATAACATCAAGTTCTAAAATAGCCGCGGGTCGGGACCGGACGCCGGAGCTAGCTAGCACTATAGTGTGCAATAGCCACCGTAGTGCGCTTGTGATCGTGAGCGAGCGCTATAGCGCGAGCAGTGCATGCACGCACACCATGCATAGTATACACCATAGAGATACCACGGAACTATGTACACGCACTCCATACATTGTACTCGAGTGGACGCGAGATGGCGCTACACAACGCGGTACCCCGGGGTACTACGGTACCCCGGGTAACGCGTGGTGCATCATATGTGGAAGTGTAATGGTGTAGTGGTTCTGACTCTCGTCTTTCAATCATAAGATCGTGAGTTCGAAACCCACTTCAGGACATTAATTTCCTTCAGCAAGAAACTCATCCACATTTTAAAACCTCGGAATAAGCCAAGTCCTAAAAGGAATTTTGCACAATTCTGTAATCTCCGGTTCCTATCGGACACAGTACTTTAAACCTATATTTCCATGTTGCAGGCAATGTATGATAGACTGAAGGTGAGTTTCTTGCAAGACCCAAACGATTCTGTGGCAGCCTATGAGGAGAGAGGGAAGGGCAAGCGTAAGAGATCACAGTACGATCAGGGAATGGAGGCTCTCTCTAACATGGATCGTGTGCAGCAAGGCGAGATGATGCATGGTGAGACCATATTCCTTTTAATAAAATCTGTTTCATAAATAAAATAAAAAAAACAATTTCTAGGTACCTTCCCATGCTCTGTAAAGAAATAGATATGAGAATTATCTTTTCATATTTTCCATTCTGCTTTAATAGAGTCATACATGTATAAACTATTAATTACTTTTCAACATTGTTGAGAATTTTTGTTGTTGAATAATTTCCATCTGAGGCACTTGGTAATTGAGGATCAATAGCTAACCAAAGGGCACTACATTGTAGGCCACTAGCACTCATATTATTGTCTCAATTTGAACTAAGGACCTTCTTATCAAGATATCACTGCTCTACTGTGCCATGAAGTCTCCTTTTGGTATAAATTTAGCATTTCACATTTGTTTTACAATTTATACTGCTCATCTATAAAAAAAAATGCACCAGGTATTAAATTTACAAGTTTTTTCAAATTTCACATTTTTCCAAACATTCTGTGGATAGATGGTTGAGTAGTTATGAATTGTAATAGCTTTTCAGTATTTTAATGATTATCACTTTTTGTTGTGTGTGTACTATAGGCTACCATGATATGAAGTCAGCTCTCAGTGATTTCCTGAGGAGCTTTGCTGAGCAAGGAAAGGTAAGAATGTTATCTGCCTCTATTCCATCTTCATCAATTAGAAAGATTTGTTGTTTTCATCACCATTCAACCACACAAATTGCATGAAATTTAAAAGCAGAGACAGTCAAGGTATTCTTTTGTTTCTACAATGTATATCTTATTCTTGTTATCCTGATTAGATATTTTTCAATAGAATAAATAATTTTTTTTTTTTTTTAATTCAGTTCCATTTTGGGTGGATTTGCTGGTATATGTTTTAAGAATTTCATTTTGTAACAAAGTACACAGGAAAGGTTAGCGATTATTCAATTTTCTTTTTGATTTGGTTTTAAATCAAATCAATGAAGTAATTCACTTTCAGTCATTCATTTGAAGAAGATAAAAATCCATATATTGTTTTATATCTTCATCCCTACCACAAATTCATTAAAAATACAAATGTTAATAGGTGATTAAGAAGTAATATACTATTAAGAGACAGTACAGGCCAATAAAATTGTCTTCACTCTATGTGGTACCTGTACTTATGAGGGGATTTCGCAGTTACAAATGTGCAATTTGTTTATTGAAATATACATAGCTTACTTCTGCATGGACAGTCATCCAGAAATCCTGAATTCTGATTAAATAATGAAAACCTAGTTAAAGTCGAGGGCCTTGTCTTGTAAAGATTGATTGATCGATTGAAAGCCGAACAACCTTTCTTAATCACACAGGTTTGATTGATATTGTAATGCAGTTGCATCTCTTTATTATATGGGGCCCAGGAGTGACAATTTAGTAAATACAGTGAAACCTCTATATAAAGACCACTCAACGCAGACAAGAAAAGTGGTCCTTACGTACAGGTTTTTTATATAGGTTTCAATGAGAAAAATTTGTAAGAGAAACAAATTTGTGCTCTTTATAGTCTGGGGATCATTCTATACAGGTGGTCACTAAAGCAGGTTCCACTTTATTATTCTCATTCTCCTATTGATATGGCTTTTTTTTTCCAGGTGGTAACAGCCAGTGATATCCAGGAGTTCTACGAGAGTCTGACCAGAAAGAGGCAAAGGGTCGGGTCTGCGGGGAGTATGCAGTACATGTGTCGCTAAACGCAATATACATGGATAAAAGACCAGTAGGCTGTCCTGGCAATGAGAAGGAATAATTTACCAGGGTGTGAAGGCGTCCAGAATCTGGCAGTTTCCAATAGACCAGTTTGAAGTTAGTACATTACAGAAATGGGTTAAAGCTTATCTGCCGTAGTTTACAGGAGGGATTAGACTGCCCTGCAAGGTCACTGGACAGGTGGTTATCTCATCAACTCTGCTCTCAGTTAACATAAGAAAAAGAGGATCATGGGGGACCAATGGTCACCGATTAGGCATTGTTTATTATATAGAGGGCGCAAGTAGTTACAAGTAGTGCAGTGGGCCTTTAAAAGACATGTGCTCTGGCAACAACAGTTCCATGGTCAATATCCCACATTATATCCCACATATCAAGAATCTTTCAACCTGATTGGTCTAAACCAGGTCACATTACAATTGATAGATTGCATATTTTGGCAATCATAGTGATAGTATTACAGAGAATTACACGTGCTAAGATTCGAAGGGTTCATGGTTTTAGGAAAAACTGTTGTTCGATACGTGTAGGCTATTGTGACGTAGGTCAATGTTAGGGGTGTATGTCAACGCACAAGCAAACGATTAGTGCAGAGAAGCAGCTAGCTACATAAGTAGATTTAATTTGCATATTAGCCTTAGGTCCAAAAAATATAGATCTCACGTTATATCTACAATTTGTTCTACCAAAACTAAAATTATTGTTGATTTCAGAAATAAAGCTAATAAACACTACCATTACTCTGGGGGGGAGGGGGGGGGGGGGTAGACAAACTGTTATTGCCTTGGTGTTGGGGTGGGGGCTATGTTATTTTCCCTCACTTAGGAAAATAATGATTTGTATCATCTTTAATGAGCATGTATCCTGTATTTGTGAGAGTTCTTCTTTATTAAACTAAAAAGTAGCTTATATAACATAGATGGGAGTTTCTCAAGGTTCATACCTTTTCCACACTGCGCATCCATTGTCATGTTAAAACTCTAAAAGAGTGGTCTCATTTGTATCTTAGTCGTCTTGTTTTCTATAAATTGCATTTATCACATGATATATGTATTTTGTGTGTTTAATAATTTGTTATTATTTTTGTTGGTGTTTGGTTTTTGTTTGGTTATTTGTTCATTGGTTAATACCTTGCCATTCATATTACCGGGTATGACTTGGGATTTATTTTACTTCATTTTCAAAAAATGAAGAGTAAAACGTTTTAAGATGTAGATCTTTCGTTTATAAATTCTGATCCTGTTTTGGAACAACAGACATAGAGCTCAAGTTGATTCTCGGGATGACTTCAAAGATAAATGTAAAGATGAAGGTGTATGTAATTTGTTGTTGCTTGTTGCTAAGGCGAAAGCACATACCCTATATAGTCGCCTTTCTTAGCAGTCAACCTGAATCTGTATCATCAGCATGGTCACATAGAATCATCACTGTAATTGTAGTTGTTTTGTATTAAACTTTTGAGTATGAAATAATAAAGCATACTGGCAACTCATGTTTCAATTCATGTTTCAATTGTTTTTATTTTGATATCATAAATGCTATACAAACAACAAAGCTGAAAAGAAAGACATATCTTTTGATATTCCTACATAGAATAATGGTGTTGATAATAGCTATTAAATACAGCTCCATTCATATTGATGATTTGTTCAAGCAAACCTCAACGTACTTTTACATTGTTCTCATAATATTCTCTTATTTCAGGACAGAGTATTAAACCATTTTCCTGAATTCTGCAGGCACAACATTAAACTGAAACATTTGAAATTGAAATTGAGGCCATGTGCATGATTTCCAAGGCATGTTACTCAGAACAACAAAGAACAAAAAGAATTGACTCGGAATGTCCATGCTATGTGACAAATCAATCGGATTGCTAATAGTTGCTTTTAATATTTCTCACATTGTGAATGGGACTATGATATTTGTATTTGTCATTTTTTGTCTTGATGGTATTTCTTTTCAATGTCATTTCCAATAGCTCACAAATGTGTACAGCTTTTAACATAGTCTACTGGCTTTTTAAAGTTTGAACAGCTGCTTTTACAGTTGTACTTAACTATGTACATATTTGCAAAAAGGTGTGTATGCACTCACTTATGTGAGCTTCTGTAGTTCAGTTGTACATCATCAACAACCCTTGTGTTTCAAAAATTATCACAAATGAATACATTGCACCTTCAACTACATGTAGCTTATGCAAAATGATCGAAAAGTTTAACCCTCCTTTCAGACCACTGGAAGGAGATTGTGTGTGAAAAGGAAAGCAAACATTGTAAAAATGTTGAAGATAAAATAAAAACAATGAACAATGACATAAAAACATGAAGGAAATATTCACTCTGCATTGGTATAAATATTACCATACTAACCAATGATCTTATGAAAGTAATTTCAAAAGATAAATGCAAGATGAATATAATGGAAAATGATTTCATGCAAACATAAACATTAATAATTTTTGGAAATAGAAATGAATGAACGAGCTGGATTGTCAAATCAACAAGAGGAATGTCATCTTTGAATGGAATTAAAGAAACCACCATTATGTCCATGGTAACAACAGACTTTTCAAAAAATGATACCAAGTACCCCTTTTTTTAAATGGCTATAAATGAAAGACAACAATCTTGATAGAGCTAGCTGCATGCATAGACAATGTCAAAAGCTTATACAACTACAAGTGTAAGAATAAATCTCCATAATTGACAAATTAGAATGTAAAAGCACATTGAAAGTATCTGAAAAAAATTAATAAAAGCAAATTGTGAACTGTATTTCACTGATGAAAACAAAATGGTTACTGACAAACTATTTCATGAAATTGGCAAATTGATATACCGGTACGGTGCAAGATCTATGACAGTGTTAAAAGGGTTATCGTGTACCTAACCAATCCTGGAAATTTTGCACAGCTATTGTCTTGCACAAAGCAATCCTTTCATCATCAATTGGAGCCTATTGCTTTGTACAAAAGTGCATGTGCAGCAAACTAGCGACTGTGCAGATAGGCAAAGAAAGCAAGCTAAGTGTTAATCATGTAGAAAATAATTGAAAAAAATATCTACATGCACATCATTCAGAGGGAAATATATCCACCCCTGTGGATTTTAGGGTACATCCTTTTCACTTTGTATCTCAATATTATGCAACCTAACTGAACAACAGTTTTCTTGACACGCCAACAGCTTGTCAGAAGTATGTATGACATAGCATTACATATAAGCAGCCTCCATTCTGTTTAACAGATTAAAGCAAAACTTCATATGAGGACATAATGTCTCTTCAGATTAAACATTTCTTATTAGAAATTGAGGTAGCATTGCTCTACACGATTTTATCCAAGGTTTCTTTAAAATGGAAAAAGCAAGCCTAATTGCACAAGAAGCAAATCTTAAGAATGTCTATAGAGGCATAAAAGAACAGCATGATTTGGCATATTATTATATGATGGCACGTTCAACAAAAATTTAGGAATGTAGATTACTACATTAAGAATGCTTAAAATCATAAATTTTTACAAGATTACAAAACAGAGGATTCTTAAGCCCCACAAACACAAAAGACAAATAAAATCATCTATAATTTCTTCGTAAACATTTTTAAAGATTGTATTATCTTCCCATTTCCCTGATTCATATCATTCAATAAACACATGTTTACACTTCAAATGATTTTCTTAACCTAACAGTAATCAATAAAAATTCTTACTTACACTTGATCAATGCACATATACATATATTTTTTTGATATAGCTGTGTTTGATTTCTATTCCTCTATAGACCCACTAGCAGGAGCTATTGCTGAGTGACCATTTATTGCACCATTGACTTTCTTCAACCCACTGTTAACTGGAAGTATTTCACTTTCATCATGGGCATGGCCATTGCCATTTGATACCACACCGTCACTCATATTAGCATTCTTGTTGGGTGTGGTCTTCATGGTGGTGTCCAAGTCCGGGACCAGTCCTTTAGCTGGAGATGGGGTACCTCCGTTAATCTTTGTCCCAGTGCTGCTGGCATCCTGCCCGTTTATACCAGTCTCGTCATGTCCGTTTATACCGTTCTCTAGGACCCCATCACCATTAACCTTGGTGTTCTCTCCATTTGCCTTTACTGATGTTTTCTCTTTATTTTCTCCGTTCTCCACCTCTTTGGTATCGCCTACCACTCCATCCTCCTTTTCTCCTTGAACCCCGTTTAGACCTTCAACGACACCACCCTGTATACCGGTCTCTCCATCTCCGTCCTCACCATCGGTCCGTTTACTGCTCCCAACCTCCTCTCTGTCCTCCCACTTCTCTACCACCACGCCTTCATCCTCTTCTCGCTTCAATTCAAAGGCGGTAGCGTCTTCTGGCAAGGCCTCGATTCTCTCTCTCCAGAAGGCGCAGTATTTCAACACATTCTCCAGAGTGCATTTCTCAATCAGGAGGAGCTGTAGGGCAGAACGCTCTTGAGCACTGAGGTTTCCATCCTTCAACTTCTCCTCATCTTCCTGTAATTAAAGATAAAAAAATTGGAAGAAAAGAAATGAAAAGTATTGTCCCGTGTCCTTGTTTGAATTCAGTTTCATTGGCTCAGAGGTAGAGCAGTGGTCTTGTAACCTGGTAGTCCCGGGTTTGAAATCAAGTTGATGCCCTAGTTTCCTTTGGTAAGGCATCAATCCTCCTTCAGAGAGGACTCAAAGCTGTCGGTCCCCTGGTTACTAACAAGCATACACATTCTTTCTAAGCAGTCGGGTAAGAAAGAAAAAAAAAATTACCCTGTCCATTTCTCCTTTCCTTGTCACTCATTACCAATTTAAAGAGACCTACAGCAGTTTCCTTTTAAATGAAGACATCCAATTAATAAGTGGTGATATGATTTATGAGTATGAAAATGCAAGGTTTGTTGTTGCGCAACTGCACCATACCCTCTGAATTCCTTTTTTACTATTATACTTATCTTACCTGAATGGATGTCTTGTACTGACGTTGGAGTAGCGTGACCCTTGTGGCCAGGTAAACACAGGTACGTAGTTCATTCAGCTTACTGATTATCTGGCTTCTGTCTACCAGACTGAAGAGAGCCTGAGCCCGGTTGTCTCCTAGTAGACGATCTCTCAGCTCCACTGCAAAGAAGAAAAGGGATAATGGAAATGAAACTAGACTATTTGAGCTTAGTATCTGGTTTCTGTCTACCAATTTGAAGAGAGCCTGAGCCCGGTTCCCTTACGGTAGACGATCTCTCAGCTCCACTGCAAAGAAGAAAGGGATAATGGAAATGAAACTAGACTAAGTTGAACTTAGCATCTGGTTTCTGTCTACCAAATGGAAGAGAGCCTGAGCCCAGTTCTCTTACGGTAGACGATCTCTCAACTCTATTGCAAAGGAGATAAAGGCAACAGTTATTGCCCATTTATAATGTCGCATTTCTTACACTTTGATTCATAGATATTAAGATATACAAGTTCTCAAAGACCAAAGGCCTATCACAAGCTTGTGATTGGCCTTTGTCCCTCCACATTTTGATTTCTTTTTGTTATTTTCTATCTGTTTAAATTTTGTACTATACCTTGAATTATTGTTGAATTTCTTTATACCTTTACTGCATTGCTATGTTTATAGGTTGTTTTGTAAATTCAAATTGCAATTTTTTTCCTTTTTGCGGAAAGAATAAAATTGAATTGAATTGAAAAAAGAAGAAAAAGAATTACTCCCGGGAAACCCAAAATGAGACCTTTGTAGAGAGGAAGTCTTGCTGTCTTGCTGTCTTGCTATACAGGTGTTAACTAAAGCAAATTTGACTTTCATATGTGAATCCTGCACACTTACAATCTTGCATGCAGAATATCCTCAAGAAAGTCAACAGCTCCAGAGTAACTGGTTCCTTTCCAGCAGAGATGTGGTAATTCTGGGAAGGCCTAAATAATAAATTGAGAAAAAAAAAGCAATGATGAGTATGAGTACGAAATTGACAAGGCTCTGCGGATGTCACATTAGAATAGTTTAGAATATGCAGACTTTCGGTTTGGAAGGCTTTAAAAATTAGTTCAAAGACGGACAAATGAAACATGTCTTTCACCCAATATATCTAAGCAGAAAGCTGACATATTGGCCATTCGCACCAAGACTATGAACTTGACCAATCAGCATTTAGAGACATCATGAAAAGACTATTGACTGCAATGATTGTGCATGAAGTCGTAATCAGTTTAATCAGTCAGAACCACTTACACTCCAAGCTTCATGACGGAACAGAGCTGTGCCTTCATGGCATAGAGTCTGTCACTGCTGCTTAGTCCCAGCTGTATGGCCATGCCATCATAGACGTTGCCCGGGTAGACAAACCCACTGTAGAGTAGCAGGTCGGCACTGGAACGGCGGCCATAGCAGATAAAGATCTGCTCCCCGACGCTAAAGTCCCTCAGAGCCATGTTGACGCAGGAATCTCTTTCTTCAATGAAGTCTGTCTTCATCTGAAAAATGAATGCGATGGTGCCGTCTTGATCTTAAAGGTAGTTAACAGTGACATCTTCATTTGATGGGCTTGATAGTGAGTTTTGAATGTACATGTGAGTTGAGTCTTTAGTATATACCGGTAGTGATGTCAGGTTGATTCCCACTTCTCAATAATCACATCAACCTGATACACGTCTGTAGACACAAACTATAATACATGTATAACAACTCGGGTCCACTCCATTTAAAGAACATTATTCATCAAATAAAATTACCCCACAATTATAGGAGACATTCAAATAGATAACAATAACAAAAAGTACAGAGAGAATAATGTTAACCCTGCTTAACTCAAAGTCACACAAGTCCAATTTTCCCTAAGTAAAATAAATTTTGGACCAAACTATGCAAAATATGTTATTTACACTTAAATTTTACATATTTCAACCTTTGTTGTTGCTGTACCAACCGATGAGACTAATGCAGAGTAAACTGTATGTAGTGGCCCTGGGGGGTGTTTCACAAAGATCCTAATTCGAACTTATCTCTAAGTTGGACTTAGCAATTATGGAAAGCCGTTACATCTATGAAAATTTTTTGTAAAAGTTAATTTAAAAGGCATAAAATGTTAATTAAATCATTCATGTTTTTTATTATCATGGGAGATTTAATGTTCTTGATGTGGGATTCATGAAAAGTCTAAAATACTTGAATTTTTGCTTTTGAATATATTTCATTATACGGCTACAAAAGGCTCTCCATAACATTTAAGTCCAACTTAGAGTTAAGTTCGACTTAGAATCTTTGTGAAACACCCCCCCCCCCCCCCCCCCCCCCTGGTGTGGAAGTTACTTACCTCCCCATTGGCATGGTTACACATGTCCCACAGCGGGATAAGACTCAGAGACATTCCCTTGCCATCCTTAGCTGGTATTTGGTTCTGTCTAGTCATCACTGTGGAAACTGCCCATCTACATAAACAATATTGAAAAGAAGCATGTCATACACGTTTGGAGCCCTGTTTGCACAAGAAGTTTCATTTCATCACTGGTCACAACCAATCACAATGCAATACCTTGTTGAATAGTAATAGTAATAGGAAACTAGATATCCAGTGGATAGTATCCAAAACCTGCTTTAGGACCACCTGCTCGTAAAGACCTCTTTTTGTTCAGCTCTCGAGTGTTTTTCCTTCTAATTATACATGTTTGACTGTACAAGGAAAGTTTCGCTTAGAGACATTTGTATTAAGCGCTATATAAAAATTAAATATTATTATTATAAATAGATTTGAGAGTAAATTATGATGGTTACACCAGGGTGATAGTGAGCACTAAAAAAAAAAAGGGTTTTTGTTTTCCCCTCAACCACGCCCCCCTTGAGTAAAAAAAAGAAAAAGAGGATTCGCGGGAAAAACAACATTTCCCCCTTTCGAGTAAGAAAATTTGGGAAAATTTGGAGAAAAAAATAGGGCAAAAAGGGAAGAATAGAGAAAATAAGTGGGAAATCGGGAAAA